TAAGATCAACTAGCGTTTTGAAGAACTCAGTTTTGGAAATGTTGCAATAACTATACTGTTTGGCCTGTTGGAAGTTTCCATTATGGCTGTCGGATGGCAGCCTTCAGAATAAATATACACATTTATTCCAAATCAATGAAAACATAATTTTTTGATCACTTTGCAGGTGTTAAAAATTATCACGAAGTTTAAAGATAGAAGCTTGAGTAGCTAATTTTGTCCATAAGATTTAGAAAGGAATTTGGGCAGCCTTTAATGATTGTTTAAATGCTGATCAAATCATTTTGTATTGGACTCTACCCAGAGCTAGGACTGCTCCCATATTATGTACCTGGAACTGACCCACTTAGTCACAAGAAAAGCGGGAGTCATCCATAAAGTCGTGTTTGCTTCTGTCTTTGTTTACATCCCTTAGGTTTGAATACCGAGTTTAGAATCTGTAATCCTGAAATCCTGCTCCCACCCAGGAGTTAAGCCTACCTGAATAGGAGTGTTGGGTACCAACACTAGACTGCTCTGAAGTACCACCGATCGCACAAATCCCTTCCTTCTTATTGATCGCTTTTCTAAAGGTCTTGGCAACATCTGTGCTTTTTAGGCCATGGAAAATCTGCAAAAATATAACGTATCTTTAGAAACTCAAGCAGTGATCAAGAAAATCCCAAAGGAAAGAATATGTAATGTTGAAGCAAGGAGGGAAGGAATGTCTTTCTGGATATTTTTAAAAATGGAATTCAAGTTCCAAGAGTTTCAAATGTGTCTCCTGATATTCTACATGGTACTCACCTTGATAAACTCATCAAAGCTGATCCTTCCATCTTGGTCCAGATCACCTGTAGCCATCAGGTTTTCTGTAATTTCTCTTACTCTGTACCCAGGCAAAGGCAAGCAAGCAGCCTTGAACAAGTCATTCAACTCATTGAAGCTGATGTATCCATTGCCATCAGTATCTGTAATGTACACAGTACACTGAAGCTGCAGGACAATTCAGGCAACAACTTTGAGAGAGAGGTGAGGGAAGACTAGATGGAAGGTGAAGGGATGAGAGAGGCCATCATTTCAGGCATTGAGGCATGATCCCATGGAAGAGTCAGAATCTCACAAGATGACTGTTACTATTGAATAGGGGCACTGGCATTACTTTCAACACTCACAGTAAAAGAGTCATGATTTCTATAAGATACCTCTGTTTCCACAAAGAACTCCTATAGAAACTCTTAAGGAAACCACAGGTTTAGTGATAAAGAGTAAGAGAAAGTATGTGACGGTATTAAAATCAAGGAAACAGCAAAAAAGAAGACAAGATATAAAAGATGAGACTTAGGAACCATTTCTAGGAACAAACTATGTAAGAGTAGAGTCTAAATTCCATGTTTTCATAGAGAAAGTAATTTTCTTGAAGCATATCTTTCAAAAATAAGTTCTCCCACCTCCTCTAAATGAACACTACTGTTTTCTTGTCACCTCTGTAATTTCGTTCATGTTACCATTTCATTGAATCTACCCTGAAGCTACTCAGTGAAGAAGAGAATGATGCAATTTGGGGTACCAGGTCTACTCACCAACTTTGGCAAAAGCTTCTCTGAGCTCCATCATTTCCTCATCGGACACTGATCCTCTGGCCATTTTTTATTGCTTTAGGTAACAGACCTGGAGAGAAGAAGAACATAAGGGATAACTTTTGTGCATCTGAATTTTTAAAATACCACATTAAGAAGCAATTCCCATTTGTTACATGAAGAAATATTCTTCTGCATCCCCCATGACTTAGAACTATCTTTCCAAAATGTAAGTCAGAAATACGCTTTTTCTCAATCCTCCATGTGGTGGTCTCTAAGGATGGCTCTCAACAATTTCTTCCCTCCCAGTCTATACAGGCTGCTCCTCACATTAAGAGGTGGAGCTTATTTCCCTCCCCTAGAATCTGGGCTGGTTTTTTAACTGCTTTGACCATAACAGGGTGGTAAAATGATGTCTGAGGCTGGAAATTTCTGCTTCCTTCTTTTTAGAATGCTTATTCTCAAGAAGCTCCCCCTTGGTACCCAATCGCCATGACATGAGCCATTCAAGCCACATAAAGAAACCAATGAAGGAGAACTGGGTGCTCTGGTTAACAACCCTGCTGAGATCCCATTTGACAGCCAGCATCAATGCCAGCAACCTGAGAGGACCATTTTGGGCTTTCTGGCCCATTTGAGCTCCTAGATGACCACATTCCCAGCCAACGTCACATTAAGCAGAATCGCCCAGCTGTGCTCAGTCAGCCAAAAGAACAGAGACGACAAAACGAGTGATGTCTTAAATCACTACGTTTTAGAGTAGTTACACAGCGATAGGCAATTAAAACACTTAACTTTTACATAAATGTCTTTTTTAAGAGGTATGTTCATGTTCATATTTAAAATTAGTATTTGACCAAGCAAACAGATACAGTTTATAACTTCAAAGGAAGTTAATCAAAATTCTCCATATTATTTAGGGATGAACAAAAGGAAGCTGACCCTCTTATAATTCAGCTATGGGAATCTAAGGCGCTTTCAAGGTGTTTTCTTCTCAGAAAAGCGACAGTCTTGCTGAGACACAGTGCTTGAGTAATTTCCCTTTTCCTGTGCATTACTGCTGCCCTCTAGTGGGTGAGA